GGAGAGGAGAGGAGAGGAGAGCTGGAGCATGGCTGGCTGTACAGTATTTTTTTGTTTCCATGTAAAGGGTAGGGAAAGTGTTTTGACTGTGATGTGGAGTGCTGGGTCCAGCTCTGGGCCACCAACAGCAGAAGGACACGGACCTGCTCCAGCGGGGCCAGAGGAGGCCACGGAGATGCTGGGGGGGCTGGAGAACCCCTGTGAGGACAGGCTGAGAGAGTTGGGGGGTTCAGCTGGAGGAGAGAAGGCTGCGGGGAGACCTTAGAGCGGCCCCCCAGGGCTGGAAGGGGCTTGTGAGAAAGGTGGGGACAGACAATAGGGCCTGTGGCCATAGGACGAGGGGTGACGGGTTTAACCTGGCAGAGGGCAGATTTAGGTCAGGTCTAGGGCAGAAATTCTCCCCTGTGAGGGGGTGAGGCCCCGGCACAGGCTGCCCAGAGAAGCTGTGGCTGCCCCCTCCCTGGCAGGGTTCGAGGCCGGGTTGGACGGGGCTTTGGGCACCCTGGGCTGGTGGAAGGTGGCCCTGCCCGGGGCAGGGGGTGGCACTGGGTGGGCTGTAAGCTCCCTCCCAACCCAAACCAGTCTGGGATTCTGTGATCTGCAAGCCTCTGAGGGAGCTTGCCCCTGTGCTGCAGTGGGTCTGACCCCAGGCGGGGGCTGTGCTGCCGGGGGTGCCCGCGCACGGCCCGAGGAGCAGAACGATCTGTATTGAACCTCTGTGCCTTGCCCTGCTTCCTTACCAACATTTACCGGGGGGTTATTAACAGCTGGAAGATGCTACTGTGTTTAAGTAAGGAACAATGAAGGGTAAAAGAGCAACTGCATTAATATAATGAACTATCTGTTAATTTTGATTTATTACCTTCCTAATAGCTTCACTGGTAGAAGAAAGGCAAGCAATAACAGTGTCACCTACTTCATTTGTTCCATTTTTTCCATCTCCTCGTACACCCAGCCTATGCAATTGCATACATTACAACATATTTAGATTTCCTGGGTTTTTCATAGCACTTCTTTCATGGCCATTTTTCGATGTTTTCTTTTTCCAGTGCTGTTTCCGCCCTTTCCATCATTCCATACTAAATACCGGTTGTAATTTGGTTACTTCAGCTCTCATAAAATCTAGACTTGCACCTGTGCATCCTCATGGCTGACGAGAAGGCAGCTGTGGTAGTAACCACAGTAATCATATTTAATGTATGTAATTTGTGGTGAAAAGGATGGTGAATATGGAAAGCGAATGGCATTTTGAGGAGCAGCTCCTTTCATTCCACAGCTTAGCGGACCACACTTTTCAGAGCGTGAAACCAGTGGGGCCAGGTTTTTGGTATTAAAAATGTGATTAAAGCACTTGGCAGAATTTTGTGACATAGTAAACTCCTTTTCAAGACGCCCAAACCGCTGATGCTGAGTGCCCTGCTGCGTGTTTAGCTGCCAAATGCTGTTAGAGGAAGGTTGTCAACAGTTCCAAATGCATTAAAGCTTTTGGGTGTATGTGTTCGGAGGCTCGTGTGTAAGCTCGGGGTTTTTGACAACTGATTTGAAAGGTTTTCAGGCTTTTTTTGGGGTAACCTACAGAATATTGACGTTTAGCGTTATAGACATTTTCAGGAATTCCAGCAAGTTGGGAAAGATGCAAGATCCAAACTAAATAACTGCAGTCAGTTCTACAGATGCACAGAAATAATGCTCGAGGCATGAAATTGCGAGAAAGACGCTGAAGTCATAAAATTTTGATTTATGTTGCACTCGATGTTTGAATGAAGATGTTATCTGTGCAAATGACACTTTTTTTTCCAGATACCTATTTTGTGAGGACACGCGGGCAGTGCTGCATGAGGCAGGCTGAGCTGCGTACGGGTCAGCCGGTGCCGAGGGCAGATAAGAACTGCAGTTCTGAGACTGACAGCCCTTTGATCAGGCGTAAACACCATAAAGGCTTTGTTAATAAATACTGTATCTTGTTTCCCTTTTTTGGAAAGATATTTGAACAGTTTGTCAAGACCAGGATCAGAGAAGAGTACAAAGAGAAGAAAAATAAATTGTTGTTAGCCAAAGAAGAATTTAAAAAGCTCCTTGAAGAATCCAAGTTATCGCCAAGGTATGGCATCGCCTTATGAAGATTTGTTGAGATAAGCTTTCTCATTTAGCCTGTGCTTATCAGCCCCAGAGTGCCGTGACACTGAGCGTACTCTTCACAGCAGGCGGGTACATCCCTTCTTACAACACTCTGTTGACATTTCTTCCCTAATATTTTACAATTTTCTGTTGCATTACTGCAAAAGGGAGCATTCCATCTCTCTCTCCGTTCCTTTTTTTTTTTTTTTTCCTCTCAGAATGTGTAATATTTAGCGTAACGCATTTATCTGCCTATGTATGCTGTCATTAGAGAACACACACACACACACACGTATATTAGTTATATAAAATCAATACCTGAACGTTAAATCTCATTGATATTAGGCACACAGGTGTAACTAGCGAAAAACTGTATTTGGCTTTGTTTTTTGATGGAAGGGAAATATAATTTAGCAAATTGAGTATTAATGCCATATCACTAAATTAAAATAAAGCGTGCGATGCAATAATTATTTTTCTACATTGCTTTTTAAGCAGTGGATCCAAAACTGCCATGGTGAACGCAGAGCTTAGGATAGAGCTTTCGCTTTTGTAAATTATATTAAAATTAAGGTTTATATATTATAAATCTGATTAAACTGTTGGAACTAAGAAATTATAGTTTTCTCTACTAAAATATGCGGGTAATTATACGGCACTACCTGCCTAGACACGTAGATACAAACAACACATCAGGCTCTCCAGGAGTAATAATTATCACAAGCTTTTTACAACAAAACTGAGGATATTCCGGGCTAACGCAGGAGCTAAGTGCTGGTTCCAGCAACGATGTTTTCAGCCTGCAAGGGCAACATCGTGCTGGCCTAAGGGACAGAGAACATCTCACCTGTTGATGTGTTTGCTGAGCTGGCTGTGAGCCCGCAGCATCATCTACCTGCATCTCTGGCGTGATTTTGATACGCAGTGAGATAAATAAATCAAAAATATTCCCAGTAAAAAGAGAACAGACCTTTCCCCAAGTGACTGTTACAAATGTACATATTATTTAGAGCCCTAATTCAGCCAGCCATAAGGATTGCAAGATCCAAGTGGCAGAGCACGGTAAGGGCACGGATCTGGGGTTGGGATGGGGGGTGCGAGGGCGGAAACCCGAGGGCCCGGGGCATCCCCGCTGTGCCCCCCGGGGTTGACAGGGCTGATCGGCTCCTCTTGTAAATCCAGGCAGGATCAGGCCGGGTAGCTCGGGGCTCCACGCCGGGGTGGGGCTGTGCTGCCTGCCCGTGGTCTCGGGGCCGTGGCTCTGCCCTTCCCAGCGTCATCGCTTCCCTCCTCCCCGTCATTAACCACAGTCTTCCATCATTTCTCGTGGTGCTGTGAACGCAACCGAGAAGAAAGTTAAGCTAGAAAACACTGCTGGAAGAATGTACACCTTGGAAATAGAAAAAGTCCAGGAGTTTAAATAAAAAAACCCTTGCTGCTTGGTAAATCATGGTGCCAGTTCTTCCTGGCGCCGCCGTGCTGCTCTCAGACCCGGCCCATGGGCTTGTACTGGGATTGGCAACAGCGTCCAGGCAGGAAAACCAGGGAATGTTTCTGGTCCCAGGTACCGTGCGTACACGGGGAACTGGCGAGGAAATCCTCAGGCAAAGCTGCCCTTGGGTTTCAGTTGCACAGTGCCCCTCACTCAACGTTACAATTAATTTTTTGCTGTATTTAGAAACTCGGGTGATGTTTCGTAAGGTGCCGTGCGCTGCTGTCAGTCAAAATGTGTTTGTTTTGTTTGGCACAGGTGAGTTTGCTCTAATTATTGAGATACTGGCCATAAGGACCAGCAGGCATAGATTAAAGCCGCAGTAACCTGTGCTGTAGCAAATCCTGTGTTGATGATGAAAAACCGTCCTGCCTGCTATCGCCCAGAATTTTCTAAACCCAAAAGATGGAAGTAAACCAGTGCAGGCTGCTCCATGAGTCCAAAGCTCAGGCAGCGGTGGCGTGGTCTCGCCTCCCTTGTCCTGGGTTTACCGTCACGTTCCCATCAAACCTTCCCCAGAACACCCCTTGGTTTTGGTGCCCGTATGAAAAGTTAAGTGAGATCTGGATCAAAGAGTCTGAGAGTAGGCTGACAAAGGCACAGCTTTAAAATGTCTTTTTTTTTTTTTTTTTTTTTTTTTTTTTTTTTTTTTTTTTTTTTTTTTTTTTCTTCTGTAGAACAACTTTTAAAGAATTCGCAGAGAAATATGGAAGAGATCAGCGGTTTCGGCTTGTGCAGAAGAAGAAGGACCAAGAGCATTTTTTCAATCAGTTCATACTTATTCTTAAAAAGAGGGACAAAGAAAACAGGATAAGGCTACGGAAAATGAGATAAAACCTCCTGAAACTGGCAATAAATACACAAGTCCATGCTGTGACTGCAGTAAGAAATTCAAATGAAGGCTAAAGCGTTCGGGGTTAAACAGCTTGACGAGGAAGCGGATATCCCGGAGAAAAACTTTCTCTAAGCGGAGTTTATTGAACATGTATTGAATTTGTGAAGGTTGTTCTGCAGGAATCTGAAGGATATTTTGTTCTCAAAGAATTAATGTTTCATATTGAAGCTCTCTTTTGTACAACATCCAGAGTTTGATGCATTTCTAATTGCCATGATATGTCAATCCCTTAATTGTTTTAATTATGCAAATTACTTGTAATATACACAAATTATGAATCCAATGCAGATTTGTAATTAAGCAGAAGCAGATGCCATCCATAACAATCTCAAGATATTTTCATCATTTAGGGGAATTATCTAATGCAATCTTCGGCAACTTTATGCATTAACATAAAGTGTTTAGAGGCGCGGTGGCGTGCAGGAATTCATCACCCGGTGTTCATACGTCTCTGTCCAGTTCTCTGAGTAGTAGTAACAAGGTATTAATTGTTAATCTTAGTGAAGAGTGTGAAAATCTTGGCATATGTTCCATAGGAAAACTCATCTTTAAGTTTCAGAAATCACTTCCTAATGACCGTGAACGGTGCTTTCAGCCCCCCAGGCGACAGCAGCACTTCTCCGTCAGCTCTGAAAAGAAGTTATTTTGTAAAACCATCCCAGTATGATTTGGATTACGTTACTGTATGTGAAAAGTCTGCATGAGATTTTTCTCATCATATTTGTATAAATAAATATTTAACTTTTTTAATAAATATTTTAAGCCAATTTTCGGGGGTGGGGTGGGGTGCGGTTGTTAAGTTTCTAAACTTTCTGAAATATTGGGTGAAGTAATGCAGGTCTCATGGTTTTTACATGAGAGATGGAAAACCAGAGAGAGTTCCCACCGCTCAGGATTTGTGTGCAAATTGCACTAACACCAGGCGGAGTATCAATATCTGAGCATACCGAGGGCAAAATAGTCTCCGGCTGCGCAGGTGGGATATCAGAGTAAACCAGTACAGCTCCACTGAACATCAGTATACTCCTCCCCTTAAGCTGGAGGAATGACGCACTCTCCTCTCTGATCATCATAATTGCCTCAGCCGACCAAATTTTTGAGTTATTACTCATCAGATTTATAGATTTCTATCTGCGAGGAGTGATGTTGATATTTTCTCCAACCCATGGTAATTTTTTCTTTAGATGTGTGCTGGATGTTTTTTATAATCAAGGAAATAAAGGGTATTTTCTAAACGCGTTGGAAAAATGAACTCAATTCAAAGAAGAGTACTCAGCGTAAAATGTGTTTTAGAAAGTGTGTAGAGTTTCAAACTTCTACACCAAAAAAAAAAAAAAAAAAAAAAAAAAAAAAAGTAATTTATTTCTGTGAGAGCAAGACCCGACGCAAAGTTGCGGTTGGTGGGAGCGAGGAAACGCGTTGCTGAGTCAGCGTTACCAGGTTAAACAGACGCTGCCAGTTTCTCTCACCTCTGCAAGGGAGGGATGTGCTTCAGGACCGAGCGAGCTGCAGGGCGAGCTGGGACGTGCAATTGGATTTTACAGGGCTGGCAAGACTTGGTGTAGCTGCTCACTTACACCTTGATTTCACAATTATTTTTACGTCACTGGAAGAGGCTGGTTTGTTCCCAGCCCTCTGGGAGTCGGGAGTCCTGCAGGAATTATGCAGAGACAAATGCTGTTCGCTTGTAGCTGTGGTAGGACTAGGCAGCGGTGACCCAGAAAAAAGGTGTAGGACTTCCAGTAGACCTGAAGACAGACTTCACAGGGGTTTTCATAAGGCTTTGCAAATTTTCCTTTTTTTTTTTTTAAAAAAAAAAAAAGATGCAGAAAACCAACGAGATCTGGCTTTTATGACTGAAAGCTTTTCCATGTCACTGGCTGGTACCCCTTTTGGTGTTGTCTGGTTTAAATGATTGTGCCTATCTAGACCCTACGCTGCCATCCCCTATTTCAAATATGAATAAAATGGGGTATTACCATGTTGGGGATTCTTCTTGATTTTAGCATTTCCTGACAGTGTCAGAAATCTGCATCGTGACGCGAGTGTGATAGTGAATGGATAACGTGTTTGGTTTTCTTGTGAAATTCCGTGACACACAAGTGGTGGTGGTGATCTGTACCTGTTAGAAAGCCTCCAAGTTCGTCTGTGTTTTCTTATATTTAAAATGAAGGAATATTAAAATAAACGCGACTAGCCCCGTGGCGCAACAGAAGGAAGTTGTGTCTATTACAGCACCTTTTAGCACAAAACACTGATAATTACCAAGGTAAAATACCTTCAGAGAAGTGCTTCGAGTTTGTGGAAGTGTGTGATCTACTCCCAAAATAATATTTTTATGACTTGTTCATTTCACAACACCCTTAACAAATCCTAATCTCACTTCAGGTGCCTCAAATTAAAACATTCTCCTCTCGTGTTATTAATAGGCAAGAAAAAATGACTTTATCAAAATACACACGTTAGCATTGCGAATATAAATGAATTAACATTCACGTCTAACATGGCAGAGAAAAACCTCTCACAAGTTTTTAGTACAGTCTGATACAAATAGAGGTGCTTCTTGCTCTACCAAGTTATCCTTTGGATTGGTATAATATATATATATATATATATATATAAAATAGCTGTTAATATTCTTATTCTAATTGTTATTGTTTATAATCATACTACTTTAATAAAGTATAACTACCCTCAGGAAGGCCTTGAAGGTTGCAAGTGCCTTTGACAGGTCCTAGCGCTCGGCTCCGGGTCTGTCAGTTTGTCCTGCAGATGATGGGGTGAGGCCGTTGCTGTCGAGGTTCGAGGCGAAGCTGCTCTGGGCTCCAGGCACTGGAAGATGAGACTGTTCCTGCTGCCGAATCCAGCAGCTCTTAGAGGAAAAGGAGGCCTGGTGCTTGGTCCGGTTGTGCTTCCCGGGGAGCAGCTGGGTGGTGGGACCGGGGAGGCGCAGGAGGACTCTGCGCCCTGTCGCCCTGTCCCTGGGGGTAACTGCGGGGCAGAGCTGGAAATCCCACACGATCCCGGCCACAAAATCCGTGACCGTCTCACCTGAACGGCATAGGGCGGCTGTAGGAAACGACAGCTCTGTCCGTGCCGGGGAGCTCACCTCGGGGGTGATTCACCACCCCCAGCACCGCTGCCCGCGCGCCGGGGGGAGCTCTGGCGCAGCTCACAGAGCGCACACAGCTCCGAGCTCCTTCGGGGCACTCGGAGAAGCATTGGGCTCCGTTAGGTGGCCAGAGCTGGTTGTTTTTCTCAGGAAATACCATTTTTTCCAGAATTAGTTATTTTGTTTCTGCAATATATCCGAACTGTCATGCGCTGGGATGGCCCCTTGAAGCGCCTTGCGCGCGGACAGACAAACCGACCTGCCTACCCTTGCGTCGCCGGCCAGACCTCGTCGGGAATGGCTCTGAGTGGAGCTTTCTGATGTGGAGGCAGCTGGACCAGGGGAGCGCAGCCTTGGTGCTAGAGGAGACAAGGAGGTGCTAATGTAAGACGGAAAAAAAGAACCCTAAAAGCCTCAGGCTTTGGCCAGCAGAGTTCGGTCTAGAAGAGCTCATTCTTCACGATCACGCGAGGAGGGGGTAAGCTAAACCTGAACAACCCCACAAGAACAAATCAGAATAAACTAATTTTCATGAATTAGGAGGTAATTTACAGGATTTTCTTTTTTGCCTTCTAAAATAAGGGTGCTCTTCCTTTTATCTGGGTAACCAAGAGGAAAATCTCATTATGGAGTAACTGTTGGATTTTCATTCTAGAATTGTTTCAAGAGTGTTGCACTCTGGGTGGATTGTGACTGGATTGTTCAAATTATTTCGTTACAAATTATTTAATCATCAGGAATCCCGTGTTTCCTGATACCTGTCACATTAAAACAAGTGCAATCCATCTTTTAAATCTGGGTTTACCAGGATCACCTGGCATGGGTGGATTGACAAGGGGGATTCGTTTATCCCAGGTGTAGGGTTTCCTCCCATCTTCCTCTAACCCAACGCTGCTTTTGTAACCCTGACCTGTTTACAACAGCCTGATCACCTCCGAGACCCTCCACCAAGGGATCTCCAACTCACACGTGGGGAATTTTTGACCCCCAACAGCGAGAAACACTCAGCCAGCCTTTCACAACTACACACATCTGTTAAACTGGAGGTAAGTACCGAGCCTGAGCCTATGAAGGCTTAAACTTCCCTGCAGCCATTTCTCAGCTTGTGGGCTCAGGTGAGTCTGCCCTGCCCTGCCCTGGTCACAGCTGGGCATCACCTGGGCCAGGGCTGGGCGAGAGGAGAGGGCTTGGGGCGGGGGTGCTGGCCCCATTTCTCCTGAGTCTGAGTTGAGCACTGATGGTCTGGCTGTTGAAAATAGAAAAAAAGTCAAATTTTACTAGATCCTTGAAGAAAAAAAGGTATGTGTGAGGGATGTTTTCCTTTTCTGTTGTTGGTAAAGTTAGAAAAAAATTCTGGAAAGACCCTAAGTGGTCCTAAAGGAGCCAATAAAGCTGCATAACAGCCTTGAATCTGCTATTTCTACAGGGGGGGAAAAAGTAGAAAAATAAACAGACTCTTCAACAAGATTTTTAATTAGTCTTTCTTTGTTGCAAGAGGAGGAAAGCCTTTGCTGTGTTTTAAAGTGCCAAGAAAATGAAATGCAATTAGCAGCAGAGTCCAGGCCTGCCGTAGCAGCAAGGGACAGAACTAAACATGAGTTTGGGGATGCGGGCAGCCAGGATGAGCTCATGCACCTTCAGAAAGAAGCTGCTCGTCTTGGTGAAACTTTCAGCATTTTGGATTTCTGGGGATCGGAAAAACTCTTTATCAAAATGAAAAGATTTTGATCCTGTAGCATTTGTTCAACGCCGCTGTGTTTCAGTAAACCAGGGTCTGCTTTGCTGAGAGAGTCATGGAAATTAAACTTGGAATACTGGCGGGGGGGAAACACCACCCCCCTGTTCCTCTGAGCCCTTCCCTGTGCCCAGCAGCTTGCTGTGTGTAATCCTTCCTGACAAGCACTTGGCTGCTTTGGTTCTCTTAACCTGCAGAAAGAGATTTCAGAGGTCCCCAGGCAATTCATTCCCTGGTCTAACTACTCTTAGCAGGAAAGGTTTTCCTCTTCCAGCGTGAACTTCTCTTCCTGCAATTTAAGCCCTTTATGGCTTGACCCCCATGGACAGCGCTGTATATACTTTTTATTTTTCCTGGAAAATCTATATTAGAAACAGTTGGCTCTGTTTGAGCAATACCCAGTCTCGGGATGGGACAAGAGCCCGGGTTAGCTCATGCCTCGAGGCTGCTCTCGCCCCTGCCCGGCCGCGTGTGCTGGGCACAGGGTTCTGCCCCTCTGCTCACACGCCGTGTTTATCCGGGTGCGGGTTTCCTGGCTTCTCCGTGGAGCCTCCAGTAAGTTCATCATATCTGTGATGGACTTGGTGTTCTTTTGCTCCAGTAAGTACCTTGGGGGTTTTAGGATGTCTCTGTCTCAATTTTCAAGTTAGAAAAAAAAAAAAAAAAAAACAAAACCAACAAAACCCAAACACATTACAAAGCGTATAATGGTTTTCAGTTCAATGAACAGTGTAGAGAGAATGGCCCTGAAACCTCAAAAAAATACCCAGAACAGGACATTTATATGTTGGTTGGGTCATTGGGAAACCACTTGAGGAAGAAGAATGAATTTGAGCTGACTACAGGGTATGTATCCGCACGCAGCTCTGGTTTTTACCCTCCCCTGTGGGGGGGAAAAAAAAAA